ACACCGATCGGAAGACTTACGGAAAAAAGTCTATGTTTTATATTGAAGTACAGAAATAATGGAGCATAAACGTAGCAGATTATGTTAATTCCACGTTGATCAAAAGAAGCTGTGAATTTCAGTTTGATTGATTGGTTGATAAAGACATATGCAAACAAAATATTTGCGCCTTTATTATTGCAAATTTAAATGTATATAAATATTGTTCTATGATGTGGTCTAGCATGTCGTAGGTTTCTTTCACCTAAATGATTGCCCATAAGAGCTTCCAATCTATTTTGCATTATTTTAGTATACTACCACAACTTTCAAGTTGCCTCACATGTGAGCTTATTCTTTTTTCTTTGTTTTTTTTTTAAACAGGGATTTCTCTTCTTTTTTTTCCTCTTTTTTCTTGTCCCCTTTTAATATGAGTATACTTGAGATTTATGAGACGTTTGGTTCATAGATTAAAATTATGAGATTAGAATTATTTTCGATTTACGTGTATTTTTTGTGAGAGAAAATACTATAGCGAATCACGAATCATGATTTGAATCAGGGTACGAATTCTCCAACCAAACAAGCTCTGATATGTAATTCGGTGGGCAGCTTTTTTTTTCTTTTTTTTTTAAATTTTGGGTTTTTGTTAAATTGAAGAACCTTTAGATTTAGCCACAATTAAACGAGAAATTTGTTAGAATGATTATCTAACAAAATGAAATTGATAAAATGACTTTTTTTTATTTTTTATTTCTAATCATTTTTTTGTAAAAAAATGTTTATTTAGATCGTTTCGTAATCATTTTATAAATAAAAATTTAAAAAAATTTATTTTATTAATAAAACTTTCATATTAAGTTATTTTTATAAAGACCACGCCAGCAAGTTAGGATTTTGGCTTGAATAAGATTAGAAGCAAACTGTGGATTTCTGGAGGGACTAAAGATTGGCCTTCCAAGGCATAATTAAATGGGCAAAGCCAAGTTTGATTTTATTCTTATTCTTTCTTAATTGTGGGATTTTGGCTGCCTTTTGCCTCAATATAAGGTTCTTCTTTCATGAAAGGCTTCGACCTTTTTCTTTTCTTTTCTTACTTTTGTCTAAGAGAATATATTTTCCATATTACAAATTATTAAAACTTTTCACCGTCATTAGGAATTCAATACTATACAAGACTCCCTTTTCAAAAGCAAATTAAGATATATATTGTGTCATTAATTATTTTCTGATTCTATTAGCAAATAACTAATGTTTTCTCAATGCCATATTCCATCTTCCTTCCCTGTTACAAAAGCACTATTATATTATCTCAAACTCTTTAAGCGGGTACAATTAACTCCTCTATTCATATCTGTTAATTTTCTAACGGAAGTTCACGTGTGATTTCTCATGTGACATTCTGAGAGGGTATAATTGTAAAAGTGCATACTTGTCTAATTACGACTGAAATGTGGGTATAATTGTAAAAGTGCATATCTTGTCTAATTACGACTGAAATGTGGGTTTAATTGTGGCTAAATCGGGGCATTTAGTATGCGAGAATCAGTAAGAATAATAATAATAATAATAATAAAATAATATTATTATTAATATTAATATTATTAATAATAAATATAATAATAACAATAATAATAATAATAATAATAATAATAAGATTCTCATGATTTTGAGATTTTTAGAAATTTGAATAACACCATATTGGGTGGTATTCAAATTACCTTAAAATGGGAGAAAGTAAATCCTATGGTAATCACTTTCTTGAGAATTTAAAAATTATAATTCTTATACCAAACATGGTAATATTGCAGATTCTCATTCTCATCCTTAAAATTACTGCATACCAAATGCCCCTAAGAGTTCTTCAATTTAACAAAAAACCCGAATTTAAAAATAAAAGGGGAAAAAAAAAGCCGCCCACCAAATTACATATCATCGTCTTTTATTCAAGCCAAAATCATAACTTGCTAAGATAATAGGGATATCAAACAATTGAAAATGTTCCATTTGATGTTTACCTAAAAAAAAAAAAACCCTCAAGAAGAGATCGATGAACACAGATATGAGAAAGAACATATTTGCACAAAAACATAGAAACGGGAAGATAATGTGATATATAATTTCAAGATCTAAAATGCCCTCAAGAATTGCAAAGAACATAGATTTGAGAAAGAAAAAATAATAAATTTTACATTAAAAAAAAAAGAAGAATCCATTACATAAATTTTTTTAAAAAAAATCCAAGTACAGATATCACATAATACATAAATAAACAAATTGGGACCACTATTCTGTTATATTCTTTTCTCTTTCTCTCTTTCCCAACCCCTCCCTTTCTAGCCATTGTAAGCAAAGCTTTCAGCGGATCTAGCTTGCATTGTCGGCAGCGATTGGCTGGCAGGAGGCTCGGGGACAAAATATTTGGGAGGCAAAGATTAATGCTATGTTTTGTAGGAAGGAAAGAAAATAGAATAGAAATGAAATATGAAAGTGATAGAAAATAATAATGATGAAAAGAAAATTAATTTTTTTTTTTATGTTGTTTGGTATGAGAAGATAGAAAGAAAATAAGCTTATATTTACTTGTTTAGTATTGAAAGTTAAATTGGGAGAAAAGAAAAAATCTCACTCGTAAATTACTTTTATACCCTTAAATTTTTTACTTGGATGTTGATGGAGAAAATGGTAGTTTAGTAACTTTGCTCACTTTAATGAGTTGTCCCCATTTTTCATCCTATTTTCTGCCCACTTGTGGAAAGAAAAAAAATAGTGGGGCCCACATGTATTATTTTTCACTCCATTTTCTCTTCCTTTCTCTTTTCTCTTCTACCAAACAACCTATATTTTCATTTTTCCTCCTAAAATCCCTCCACCTTCTTCCTTCCATCTACTTTTCTTTTCTATCAATCATACTAGGCTCAACACGGAGGGGTTAGGGTGGCAGCAATGTGCGGGATCGATGAAGGCGATTGGACTCACAACAGAGGGTCTTTCAAGATCGAACGAGTTCATGCGGCGAAGGTTCTTGCAATGAGTCTGAGCTCGTGCAGAAAAGGGGCTTCACAATGGGTGCTCTGTGGCGGAGGGATTGTACTTGCAACGTTGAGAGGTCTAGCTTGCACAGAGGAGGAGGTCGAGGCATTGTAAAAATGACTCAATAGAAAAGTTTTATTAACAAAATAACTTTAAAAAAAATTTTATTTACAAAATAACTACTGAAATATTAGGAACGATAATTTTTTATAAATAACAATCACTCAGTCATTCTTCATAAAAAATAAAAAAAAATGTCATTTTGTCAATTTCATTTTATAAGATAATCACTCTAATAAATTTCTTGTCTAAATTCCATGGTTGAATTTCTAATCATTAGGGTTTAGCCTTGTAGAAGAAATGAGAGAAAATAATATTTTTCTGAAAATAAATTTGTTTTTATTCTCTCTCATATATATGTATTATATATATCACTTAAGACCCATTTAAAATTAAGGTTATTTTAGTCTTTTCTGAGTAAAAGTGGTCCTGTGAGGTTCTATGTGCAATTTTCCATGAAAATTTTGACAGATATGAATGGAAAGAACTTAGGCCCTATTTATTTTATCGATTCGAGTTTTTAATTTCAGTTTTGTTATAGTTAGAAGCTCTCAGAAACAGTAACATCTAACTTTTTTACTACAGTTAAAAATTCTCTCATAAAGTCAGATCTCAACTCAAATCGACAAACTAAACGGGACCTTAATTGCACCAATTTAATGACGTTGGGGACCATTTCGTCAAAATTAAAAGAATAGAGATCAAACTGTCACCTTCTAAACAGATTAAGGACCATCCGTATCAATTATTATTATTATTATTTTTTATTTTTTATTTTTGAGAAAGAACATCTCAACATCTTTTTAACTAATAGCAAGTTCATTAATTAATTTTGAGTTAGTTATAACATTAACTAATTTCAGTTTTAATGGTTAAACAACTATTAATAATCATCACTTATATCTATTATCTTTGTGTTACCAAACTATCAAGTTGTGCCACAATTACAATGGCACTTTATAAGGTGGGGCCGAATAAAGAAAAACTTGCCATGTGGAAAAGCTTAGGATATCACACGATATGAGAGAAGCCAAGAAAAAGCCGTCGATGATTGAAAAACCCACGTAAGATTATCAAGTGGGATGTGAAATTTTAAAGAGACTTTTGAAGGGTGTTTAGGAACAAGCGCATGCCGGAATGTGTGTGATTATGGGGGCAAAGGACTCTCCCTCTCAATTCTGTCTTGAATTATATTTTGAGAGAGAGAGAGAAAGAGAGAGAGATTATTTGGAATATGAAGTTGCTACATTAAGGTCTCGTTCAAGTTTATTTTATTGATTTGAATTTTTAATTTTAAGTTTTTATAATAAAATTTAAAAAAAAATGTCACATTTAATTTTTTTTATTACAGTAAAAAGTTTTAAAAAAATAGCACATTTCAGTTCAAATCTGTGAAGTGAACGAGGCTAATTGTCAAAGGAAAAAAAAAAAGGGATTGGTAAACATTGACTTAACACCTTATAATTTGTTATGAGATTTTATTCCAGGTTTTTAATTTGGCTAAGTTGGCAACATGAAAACTCAAAATTTTGAATATTTTATGGAATTGTTTACTAACTTGTAATGGAATGAAACGGATGATAATTATTAAAAAAAAAAAATGAAGATAAAAAGGCGGAAGTATAAATGGAAGCAATTCAATTCCTATCTTTTACTAACTTCAGGTATAGACATCTTGATAGCTTGAATATTAACATGTGCTTACGAACAATATTATTAGTTAAATTTAAGTAAAACCACTAAACTAATTGTGTGGCTTATTCTAATGAAAGAGAAACTATGACAACCATCAATCTCTTAAGGCACAAGGCCAAGAAATGGTAAATTGTGCAGTCCCACATCGTCTGAGGATGAAAATGAGTTTTGATTTATAAAGAATGACACCACCTCCTAACGGTATGAGGCCTTTTAGGAGGTGATGCCCAAAAACAAAACTGTACGGGCTCAGGCCCAAAACGGACAATATTATATCAGGTGGAGGTGTGGATCGTTACAGAAACAACACGTGTAAATTTAAAATTGGGTTTTCCTATTCAGCGGAAAAAAAAAATCCTTCCCTCTTCTTTTTTCTAATCAATTCCTACACCTATTCATTTTTAAGTAATCACATAAATATTTGGGAAAAAGGAAAATTCCTTGTTTTTTACTATGACAAATAAACATGTTATGTATTTGAAATGTTTACTATCTCCTAAAATTTTCACACACTCGTTAAACACGAATTAAACTATCCTCAATAGTCTTGTCATAAATTTAAATTATTAATATCGTTAGTTTTGATAAAAGTGATATCAGCTTTTATGGAGATTAAAGACCAATAATAGAAACATTCAATTGACTTTAATACTGAGATTGCAGTGTGGATTTTTTTTTTTTTCCAACTTGTGAAGAGAAAAAAAACAAGAAAAAAAAGAAGAGGAAAAAAGCGTGTAACATGGAATCATAGCAGTGGAGTGAAGCATGTTCACCATAATTGCGTATACGACCATCCTATGGAGCATGACACTGCAAAATGACTTCACCAACCAACTAAAGAGCCGACACCAATTGCCCTTAGTTTTAAGGAGTAGTCAATGTTCTTAAGGCCAACATTTGTGATGATGAGCGGCACACAAACCCAAAATGGACATATTCAATGAACAAAATTGGTCACTTTTTTTATGAAAAATGAGAAGATTCAACTAGTATAAATCAGTATAAAGAAAGACCGATACATCTTAATTAGATTGGTACCTATTTTAAAAATTGTGCCGCGCTAAATTTTCTCTCTCGACGGTAAAACAATTGAATGGATTTTTTTTTTTTTAATAAGGTTCAAATGAATTTGTTTTTTTTCCATTTGAGAATCCTTACTATAGAAATTTCATCTGTCTTAATTAAATGGTATGATATGTCCCTTCTCTCTTTTTTTTTTTTTTTTTTTTTTTTGTGGTGGGGGTATATGTCAAATAACAACAAAAGGATGATTGCCACGTAAAGCCAAAAGTGAGTAAGCAAAAGATTCTTTTCATCAAAGAAATGCGTGACATGTCGTAGAGTTGCATTAAGTGTAGAAGGAAATTATGGCATCCACTTTTGGTGCACACCATGTTTGTGCACCTCCACTCCACCAATAATAATAAACCATATTTTAAGGACCACACCTTCACTCGTTGGTCCTTGTCCCATCCACACACTCTGTGGATATTTGATTTATAAATTTAAAACCATAATTTAGAATTATTTTCAATTTACTTGTGTTTTTTGTGAGAAAAAATACTTAAACGAATCACGAATCATGATTCGAATCATGGCACGAATCCACCAACCAAACGCACCCCTGTCTTGGTAAGGAGAAAGCAAGAAATGTTTGGGAAAAAAAATATAGAGAATAATAGGAAATAGTAGAGTGATGGAGGTGAATGAATGAACAAAAGCTTACTAGTTGCTGCTGCTTTAAAATTCTGCCGTACCCAAAGAATAATAACCTACAACTGCTTTTGGTCAGGAAAAGAAAAACAAGAACGTTTGGTACTTTTTTCTTCATTACTTCACTAAACCAATCATAGCAATTTTAAAATTGCAAGTTAACAAAAGCTGAAAATATAAGCAGAGCATGATGAAGCAATGTGGCATGCAGATCGAGTTACTCGGTTTTGAATTTTGAGCATTCTGCATGCATGCGAAAGCTTCTTTCATGATTCCTTTTTGGCTGATAAGAAAGAGGATCACTGATGCCATCCAACCCCTCATCTCCATAGTCTACTAAGCAAAAATCCCAAAGCCAGCCAATGAAACAAAAAGAGCACGACCAATTCTACTCAAAGGATGCTCCCAATTTCAGGCAAATATCTATGGGTCCAATGCACACAGCCTATTGGCCGGGTAAGACCTATATCGGGGCTGCCAAGATTTGAACCCGTGGCATCGTAGGAGAAAAAGGAAAGACATCTTTGCCGCTGAACAAACCCATTAATGGCCCTTCATGATAATAGAAAATTTTGTTGTCTAGTTTAGTAGAGCTGGACACCACAAGACACAAGTTGGACTAGACACGAGCTCCTTCTCATACCTAAAGTCCACCTCTCACATAATAAAATCAAGAGGGAAAAAAATAAAGGGCATCAGCCATGCCCAACATAACAACTCGGGCATATTTCAACTCTCATCACATGGATCTTACACGTAACACTAAGACTCATATGAGAGTTATCCTATGTGAGTTGTGGTATTAGACACCGTTAATGTCTAATAGCATTGCTGCAAGACTGCTTTGAGTCTTGTAGTGGATTATAAATATTATAGAAGAAAAAGCATTTTGAGAAGTGTTTGAGCTTTCATGGCATGATCAATAGACCAAAAGTACACATCTTGTTCACATCTGTTGAGTGCTGGAGACTTTCTCCAAGGCCAAAAATCATCTTGACCAACTCATGATACTTTGGTCTTGGCCCTAATAGAGTCAAAAGAATATCATGCTAAAGGAATAAATAGACGGGCAACAAAGAGTTGGAGAGCGCCCAAAATGTGCCCAAACACTGATTATATTATTCAACTCCTAATTGAAAATGGACCTGGGACGCCCAAAAAAAAAAAAAAGGAAAGGAGCTATAATCCTGACCCAATATATCCTCTGCTCTCCAGATTTCAATAAAAATATTTTACGGGGCCTTCGGTCATGTAACTATTCCTGATTCTTAGGCACTGGGAAAGCAATCACATCTCGAATACTGGCCGAGTCTGTTAACAGCATGACTAACCTATCAATTCCAAGTCCCTGAAAAATAATACTTTACCGTTAGGAACTACTCGAGAACAGTTGCAGCTGAAAAATAAATCAAGAGTCAAACAAGTACAGAATGTCAATTTCATGTGCTTGTGTATTTCATGCATATAATCATTGACAAATTTTCTTTTTCTGGCTCAATTTCACAATCAGGTCCCAGAAGGCACACCAAAAAAAAAAAAAACTGTAACCTTTGCAATTTAAATGTCGCAAATTTTGGGGCCAAATTGCACCACGCCCCAAGGGACATTTAAATGGCACGAGTGGAAGAAATAATAATTCAAAGAACCTAAATGTTGGTATCTAAAAACTGAATCAGCGATAGATGCCAAAAAGAAAAGGAAAAGGCAAGGAAAAAGAGAGCGAGAGAGAAATGACCATACCATTCCTGAAGCTGGAGGCATCCCATATTCCAAAGCTGTTAAAAAATCATCATCAAGCGTCACTTCATATGACTCATCCTCGTTATTATTTTTCTTCTCTCCTGTGCTCTCTGTTTCTGACACAGCTGCTGTTCTCTTCTCATTGTGCTGCCTTATTTGCTCTTCCAAGCGTCCTCTCTGTCAGCATTCAATACTAAATGAAAAGGCTTTTACACTTTCCAGCAAGAAACAAAGATATTAAGAAAACAAATTATCCACCAGTAGAAGCTTTTGGCACCGGACATCTCATATCTCAATTCATGGACGAGTGATGTTAATATCAACATAGCCTCTTATTTTCCCTATCCAGATTTCAACTTGAAGGTTCAAACTGAAGTTTTCTTAACCATAATACCTAGCAGTAGTTGCGAGTTGCCACCAATCCTATCACTTCATGGTTTATGGCATGGCTACAACTTATTACAAGTATTTGATGCAACCATCCATTGTGAATAAGTAGGTGACACAATTTATCAATAAACAACCCTAGAAATTTACTTCTACAAGTTGAGTACGAGTTTTGACTACATTCTAAATGTAGCTCTAGAAATTTATTTCTACAAGTTGCTCTTTTGCTGGCAGTCAAGTTTCTGTGTTCTGTTCGTTTTTTGAAACTTGCAATACAACATGCAATTTTCTGCAACTTCTCAAAACAGTTTCTATTCCATAATAAAAATAATCTACTGATAAAGCATAAAATGGATGAAAAGGCGGAGAAATATAAAACTCAACAAACTATAATACACATATCAACTAGTATCAAATCTTTTTTCTAAAAGAAAAAAAAAAATCTTTCTAATACCAGATATGTATCACCACCATCACCATCCATGTACAATTCAAAATGCTTCCATAGGTTCTATTCCTCTTTCCATTGGAAAAGTCCTATCATAAATTTTAGTGCCATTCTGAACTTCAGTTTTTAATCAGCATATTGAACTGAATCACCAATGACTTTTGGTTGTTGTATAAGAAACTGGATAATCACATCTCAAGCTATAAACCTATGAAAACAATACATCATTTAAAGCAACAAACTTGCAAATCAACAACCACTTGAGTTGAATGTTGTTGAATACTTGAAGCAATAATAGAATACTAAGAAAGTCAAACTGATGACAATGATTACCTGATCCACAGGATCAGTCAATTCTGAGAAAGCATTGCCCAACTCACGACCACATATGAAAAGTTCAAATCTCTCGGTAAGCCCTGCATGCCTACCATGGAGTAACATTTTGTTAGTTGACAAAGAAATGTGCGAGTAAAAGTATGGGGGAAAAACATCTTTAATATTGATAAGAAGCATTTTCTTTATAAGAAATATGTATTAATAAGAAACCAAGATGAAACCCAGAGGAGGAGGAGGATGTGCGAATAAAGATATTTAGAATGCCACAAGTATTACATGGGAAAAGTTGCAGCAGGAAAAAAGTCTCTCAACTGATATAAAAAAAAATTGTATCTTAGTTTAATTCGAAGTTATAAGCTTAGCATATAAAAGGGCTGAACCTAGTTCTTTTCACCCTTACCAGAATTACTAAGAGAACATTTCCCTAGAAACTGTTTGTCACGAAGAACGAGATATATGAATTTTGGGTAACAACTGCAGCAGAAAAACATCAACATAGAGTTCAAAACTCTTTTAATCCTACTGTGTTTACATGGTCAACATGATCCTATATATCTTAATACATCTTGATTCATTGGAATGAACACACTTTCTAGAGCAAAAGTGAATCTAAACTTGACAAACAGAATTAATAATACCTTGGGTCTCGAGTCATTATAAAAGCATTGCAAAGGTGTTGGCTAATCAGTTGAAGCAAGTCTTGGACTACGGTATCAAAGAGTCAAAGTGCCTTTATCAATGGAAGGCAGATTTTAGATGGGGTGTTGATTGCGAATGTAGTGGAGGAATATAGAGTTGAAGGCAAGCAGGGGCTGATTTTCAAGCTAAATTTTGAGAAAGCCTATGATCATGTAAGATGGTCTTTCCTAAGGCAATAGATGGAGAGAAAAGGGTTTGGTCAAAAATGGATTGGCTAGATTATGGGCTGCCTTAGTTCGGCAAATTTTTCGGTCCTAATTAATGGTAAACCAAGAGGCAGGTTTGGGGCTTCAAGAGGATTAAGACAGGGTGACCCTCTATCCCTTTTCTCTTTACAATAGTGGTGGATGGCTCAAGTAGATTGATGGATAAGGCGGAGAATTCGGAGGTTATCAAAGGCTTCAAGATTGGTAGGGAACAAATTGGTGTTTCTCACCTTCAATTTGCGGATGATACCCTGGTATTCTTAGATCCATCCAGAGAAAACTTCAACAACACGGTGACTATTCTCAAATTTCTCTCTTTGTTCGGGATTGAAAATTAACATGGGAAGAGTACAATAAATGGAATAAATGTGGAGGCGGAAGAAATCCATAATTTGGCCTTGGAGTTAGGTTGTGAGGTGGGTCTTGCCAATGAAGTATTTAGTTGTGAGGTGGGTCTTGCCAATGAAGTATTTAGGCTTACCCTTGGGAGGTTACCCTTTGTCTAACGGATTTTGGGATCCGGTGGTAGAGAAGATTTCTAAGAGACTTGATAATTGGAGAATAGGTTTTTTATCAAGGGGAGGGAGGTTAACTATAATTCAATCTGTATTGTCTAGCATTCCAATTTATTACCTTTCTCTCTTTAGAATCCCAGTAGCAGTAGCAAAGGAGATTGAAGATCGGATGAGATGGTTTCCTTGGGATGGATTGGAGAAAGAGAGAAAAATTGGATAATCTTGTGGCTTTGAAAGTGGTCTCTTTGGGCAAGAAAGAAGGGGGTCTGGATATAGGAACTTTGTTGAAGAAGAATCATGCTTTATTGGGTAAGTGGCTGTGGAAGTCTCCCTTAGAACAAGGTTCTCTTTGGGCTATGATTATTAGAAGTACATATGGGTTGCAATCTAACAGCTGGGACTCCAATCTGGTAGGGAGAGGCACTCATAGGAATCCTTGGAAATCAATATCTCAAAGTCTAAATTTGTTTCTTGAGCCAGTGAAATGGAAGGTGGGAGATGGAAGTATTGTGAGATTTTGGGAAGACAAATGGTGTAGTGATCAGCCTTTTGCAATCACTTTCCCAAGACTTTATAGTCTTATAAATGATAGGGAGGTGAAAATAAAGAAAAGAAAAGATGTATTGATTGTGGGAGGTGATTCCATTGTAAATTGGAATTTTGGTCTCCGCAGAAATCTCAATGAAAGAGAATATGATCAGCTTTAGAATTTGTTGCAAGTTTTGGGGAATTTTTCTCCAAATCCTTCCAGGGGTGATTTCCGAATTTGGGAAGGGGATTCAAATGGGTGTACATGTAATTCTTTCTATCAATCCTTGATAAAAATAAAAATAAAAAATCCAAATAATCCTCACTTTGAGCCTCTTAAATCAATCTGGAAATCTTGTGCTCCATATAGAGTTAAGGTGTTTGCCTGGTTGTTTTTTCATAGAAAGTTGAATACTTGTGATTTAGTGCAGAGAAAACGCCCTAATATAGCCTTGTCTCCTAGCTGGTGTGTTGTGTCAAGACAGTCTGAAACAGTAGACCATTTGTTTCTGCACTGTGAGTTGGCTAGGAAGCTGTGATGTAGAGTTTTGGAAGCAGCTGCAATTCCTTGGTCGTTTCCTGTGCAAAGTAATTCTATACTGGTGGATGACTTTTTCGGATTTGGGAGGGACAGAAAAGCCAAGACAATTTGGAGAGCTTTGATTGTAGTTGTTTTATTGGTCATCTGGATAGAAAGAAATCAAAGAGTTTTTTAGGATAAGATGTCTTTTGAAGATCTTTTTTATAAGGCAAAATTTATTGTGTCGCTGTAGTCATCAACAGATTCCTCTTTTAAACATTTTCCGCTTTACTTGAAAAGTCTAAGCTGGAAGATATTTTAAACAAGATGGGAACTTAGTTTTCTGTATCTATTTTGGTTTCGACTCTTTAGTCTTTCTCAATTGTATTTTTTCTATTTTCCATAATGGAATCCTCTTCCATCCCGAACCTTCTCTTGTAATTTTTTTCATTTAATGAAGTTTCCAGTTTCTTATCAAAATAATAATAATAATAATAATACCTTCGGTGTCGTTTTGCCAGAGGAGATATCTCAATTGGATAGTCCAAAACAAACGTGGGTTGAAGAAGCTTTGGCTCTATGAAAATCTCAAAAACCTAGAACAAAAGCACAATAAAAATTGCTTTAGAACAGAGTGAAACAGAATTTAGTTTATTGAAAAATATTCCTCCTTTAGAACAGAATTAAATGGAGTAGCAGCACTACATAATTACGTATTGAAAAATTCTCACATGATCCATAAAAAATTCCTTGAAGAACAAGAACAACAAATTGCGTGCTTGTACGGACACATAAAACTCAAACTAGTGGATTATATTGCAGATTAACCTCATTAAGAAGGTGGCCAACAGATGGGGACGCTCGGATGGAAGATTTTTCTTGGTTTTCAAGATTCACAAGGGTCCTCAGAGTAACTTCTTTAGCAACTTCAAGATCACTTCCAAATTCTTTGAAATCAATGCCAGTGGCTTCTTTTACAAGATTATGCATGGTTTCCCGCCTCCAAGGTCGCTCAAGATTTATCTCCTCTCCCTTAACAAATATATTGTACCAGCTTAAACAGATCAGAAAGCTACCGTTGTAATAATTCGCAAAGAAGCAATTTTAATCACGCAAAGAATCTCCACAAGATCGTAAAAAATTATCACACTTTACCTGGTAATCGATGGAAAGCTTCCCATGAACTGCAAGTGCACAACGAGTAACAATTTCCTCAGCCATGTCCATCATGCTTTCATAGTCCGAATATGCTTCGTACATCTAAAGTTCAAACTAATAACAATTCAGATCAGAACTTCTTTTAAAAGAAATGTAGCCATCTGCACACACGTAGGTAGTTGATACTTCAATCAACAATTAGCAGATCACAAAGTAAATTCACGGTAACCATGTAGTTTATCAAACAAAAAAGATTAGAGAACTTTATGAATGAGGTACCTCAATGGTGGTAAATTCTGGATTATGACGATTTGAAATACCTTCATTTCTGAAGATTCGACCGATCTCATAAACTTTTTCAAATCCCCCAACCTATCATCCACATATATTTAAATTTTGTTTCACAATGAATAAAGAACGGCAGCAACATAATACAATTATTATGAGAAAAATGCTAGAGGGGTCAACGCACGTATATGTATATGTATATGCATATATATCGGAGCTGCATATCTTTGATGAGCTTGAAGGAGAAGAAACAAACTTAGAACGACATCATTAAAAAGCTTAAAAACTGACAACTAAAAACAAAGACTTAATGTGGTCGCAGGCATAGCCCGGCAGTAAGTCCCCACCTTGAGGTGTACATTTCAAATCCCTCACCCCCAAATTAAAAGGAAAAAAAAAGAGAGAATACTTAATACAAGCAAAGAGCAGATTGAGTAAACCGACCCATTTTATTTAAGAAAAGACCCTGCAAACAATGACAGAATCTACAAAAATCCAATTTAGTAAAAATTAGAAAGGAGAAAAATGTATTTGTGTTCGAAGGAGAGATCAAGATAAGATGAGAAAGAATCATAAAGAGACAACTCCGTTTCATTGAAAGCAATTTGCTGATAAAGGTATCTATATTTCTGAACTCAATGCCCATGTCGAACAAGACAGTGATGCAACTGATTAAATTTTATTTGCACAAACAGACGAACAAAAGGTAGCTTAAGAAGTACGAAGATTGGCTGGGAAAAAAGACTTCAAGTGCTTAATCAGTTGCAAAGAATAACATCAATTGAATTATTGCTTTAACAGATAATATACTATTAAGAACAAAGAGCTGGAGCTCCTTAAGGAAACATATGAGGTAAGCTAATTTTTTTAGTCAAAAAGAAACCAATGCAATTGATGCGGAACACAATGCTAAATTACGAACCTACACTAGAGGTCGCTAGAGGAAGAATTAAGAATTAGGATTTAGTATTTTATTACTTTTATATTTTGTAATTTTGTTATTCTCTGAAAGTTGACAACTTGGAAACTTGTGTCAACTCATGCTTAGTTGTCATTTGCTAGCTTTCCTTACTAGAATCCAACTAGGCCAAGTCATTCCTAGTTGTCATTAGCTAAGATCTAGAATGACCACCTTGTAAGTTAGTTGTCACTTAAGCCACTAGTGCTAAATTGCCTATCTATAAATAGGCCATCTTGTAACATGGAAAAACAAGTCATTTTGGTTATGAAATATACACTTTTCTTCTCCTAGTATTCTTGTTCTCTCCCTAAATGTTCTCTCATACTCTCTTCTCTTCCTCAAATTCTAAATCGTTCTCTACCTATTTCTTTCTCTTTCTCCTCCCCTCTAATTCTAACTTGTTCTACATCAGCAATTCTGCAATTACAGTAAAACCTCATTAAAATTCAAAACTAAATACACAATCTCTTGATTCATGGACTACAAAATGGGAGGTACTGTTTTTACTCGCAAAATTAAATGCAGTGTGTCAAGAGTTCTGGGGCACAAGAGGAAGATCAACCAACGAAAAAATTTATCAGCAACGGTAATGCATACAAATTGACACTCTCTTTAGTGGACACAACAAGTTTTATCATGTCAAACCAGTAACTTAATAGTGAATAGCGGGGAGCAGTGAGGCATATGCATATCGCCCAACAAAAAAAGAGTTGTGTATATAAAACCTCACCATCATTCTCTTTAAATGGAGCTCCGTTGCTATCCTCAAATAAAGGTCCCTTCCTAGTGAATTGTGGTATGTAACGAATGGCCTAGCTTCTGCTCCACCAGCTGCCCCCTAGTTGATCAAGTCAATTACAAATTGACAAGTAGAAAAATTCTTGAGCATGTAAAATAATCATCAAATGATACCAATTAACAGAAACAAAAAAGGAATTATAGCTAGAATAAATGTATCGCTGAAAACTACGAAATTTGGATAAGAAAGACAGTTAAAATAAAAAATAAAAAAATAAAAAAAAGAGCCACAAACCTGTAGAACTGGAGTTTCAACTTCAATAAAGCCAAAAGATTCGACTGTCCTGCGTAACTCTGACACAATCTAATTCAACAAATAAAACAAGTAAAGCATTAACCTATATTTATAACATTTATTGAAAGGCATAGACAAATAAAGTATCATCTACATTCTACAATTCAAAAGAAATTTATCAGATCATAGAACATTGTAGACACAATTTAAAACCCAACAAAATGAGAAACCAAATTGATTCCAAAATAATATCAGAGGCAAGAAGAAGGGCCGAGAGAATCTTGGGAATTTAGCAAATTCTCAGTTAAGTCAAATTTACCCCAGTTCTACAAGCACTTAATTTCTAATATTGTCTGTCATCAGATATACACGAAATTTTGGAGATGGTTAAAAAGGAATAATAGAGGGAATATGACCTACCTTTGCTCTCTTCCGGAATACATCAGCTACTTCAGGATTTGAAATCATGTCTAAGTACCTTAACATAGAAAAGAAAAGTCCAGTTATAGCTAGCATTTCAAATTAAGAAATCTACTACTAGATTGGTATTATCATTAAACAAATTCCAGTGTTATGCAAAGAAATCTATTATTCCTTTCTAACCATAAGCCCCAAAAAGTAGCTAAAATTGTAGCCCTCCATAAAATGAATCCCCTTTTGACTGAGACTCGAAAGAGGAGAGAAAACAAATTACTCTGTACAACTTCGAGGCATGACCCAAGAGAAGCCAAACTCCTTCAACACACAAGACCAAAGCAGGCGGGAATAACCACAATGTAAAAACAAGTGATTAGTTGACTCCCATCATCCTTGCACAAGCAACACCAACCTAGAGAGATTGAAAGGAACGGACTTCTGCAATGAATCGTGAGTATTCACCTAATTAAGAGCGAGCAGTCAGCAGAATACTTGGACAGTTGGACCTTGATGGGGGCGCGAGTTTCCAAATATTTTTAAAGAAGACAAAACACGGAATTGATGAATCAGCTGTCAATGAAGAAAATAGTGAATTGACTGAAAACAATCGACTGCTATCAGGCACCACTCCCTTCTATCTTGGATTACACCAATAAGCCTGATTCTTTCCACATTTGCAATTAACTTCAAAACCTCTCTCAACTCCCTATCTGTTAAGTTCCTTGGCACTTTGAAATTCCACGAGATGCTACCATCATCCTGAAAGTCATTGTCCACCACAAAATTTGCTATTGGTTGATCTCGAAGAAAAAAATTATGTATAAAGGACATCTTGAACACAAAGTACCACCTTTGATCCAAGAATCTTCCCAAAAACTCACAATTTCTCCTGAGCCAATCTTCCATTTAACCCACTGGAAAAATATCCCAGATGCTGACTGAATTGACTTCCATGGACATCTAAGTGTTACTCTCAATGCTGCTCATGAATCCACTTGTTTGAAGCCAATCCACATTTCCCTACCACAACCGTATGCCATAATGCATCAGATTCCAACGGAAACCTCCAGATTCATTTTGTTAACAGGGCCCCGTTTCTCTTCCTAATGTTGCCAATACCCAAACCCCACAATTCCTTTGGTGTGCAAACTTGATCCCAAGCCACCAAATGAGTCGCATTATCTTCAGAAAACCCCTCCCAAAAAAAAATCACTCATGAGCTTCTCAATCACCTTTGCTATTGCAACGAAGATTCTAAATACCAACATGTAACAGATAGGCAAAGCAGATAAAACTAACTGAATAAGTGTTAGCCTACCTCCTTTTGACAAGAATGCTTTTTTCTACCGATCCAATCTCTTTGCCACTCTAGATACCACCGCATCCCAAAAGGATGTCGGCAACGGATTTCCGCCTAAAGGTAGACCCATGTATTTAACTAACCACAAACCCACTGAACAAACGACAACACTAGCCAGCCTAACCAACCTCTCTTCTTCCAAATTTATGCCCAAAATAATGCTTTTGTCCAGGTTTGTTTTCAAACCCGAAATTAGACAAAAGATCGCCAACATAGAGGTTAGATTCATCAAATTGTCCTCCTTAGATGAGCTAAAAAATAATGTGTCGTCTGCAAATTGGAGCTGGCTTATTTGGCATTCATTCTCCCCACACTAAGAGGAATAAAAAGAGAACCTTTGACGGCCCTGTCAACTAACCTGCTCAACGCATCGACTATAAGGGTAAACAGATATTGGGACAAAGGATCCCCCTACTGCAGCCCTCTTGAAGCTGCAAACTTGCCCCCAGCATGCCATTAATCATCACGGAATAGTTAACAAAACCAATGCAGCCCGCTATCCACTTTCTTCACCTAGCACCATCCCTTTTTCTCTCCAAAACGAACTTTAGAAACTTCCATTCGACGTGATCATAAGCCTTTTCAAAATCAATTTTCACCGCCACCCCCTCTCTTCTTGAGACTATAGTTTTCCACCACCTCATTTGCAACCAAAACTAGATCTAAAATCTGCCTCCCTGCCACAGACGCCCCTTGAACTTCTAAATTGTCTCCTCTAGAACAACCTCCAGCCTATACGAAAACACCTTCGAGATATAATTTTCTGCAGGCTTGTAACCAAGCTAATGGGTCTGAAATCCCTAATTCTAGAATTTAGTTTTTTAGGGATCAAACAAATATATGTTTTGTTGGTAATACAATTGATAATCCTAGTCCTCCAGAATTCTTTAATCGCTTGCAACACATCAACTTTCACAAAATCCCAACACTCCAGGAAAAAAGATAATGTGAACCCATTCGGACCAGGAGCCTTGTTACCGTCACAATTGAAAACTGCTCTCTTGATTTCTTCCTCTTCGAATGGCATCTCTAGAGATTCTGCAGCGGGTGTAGAAATTGGACTCTAATCTAGACCTTCAACTCCTGAAAACTCACCACCCGACAATTCATATAGTTTTTCATAAAATTCTACTATCCTCTTCAAAATTTCCTCCACATCCTCCATAAAAACTCCATCTTCTGTTTCCAATTTTGAAATAGTATCGCATTTAGTAAGCGATCGAAAAGTTTGGAATTTGCATCTTCCTCTCATGCCCAAATGGATTTGCACTTCAATCTCAGAACCCTAGCCTCCTCCTCTATTAGGCGGAAAAATCGGTATTTAACTCCTTCCTCTCCAAATGCAAAACCGAAGACTGCTCGGAGCTCCCTTCCTTTTGATCAATCTCCTCGATTCCATTTAAAGCTTCTCCACACGTTGCTTCAGCCACCTCCATACTCCACCTTTTTACTTTTTCACTCAACAACTTCAACTTCCTCATACATCAGTAACCATCCCAGCCTCTAACCTCTTCTTCATCCCACCAACCCTACATACATTTAACTAACTCCTTATTCTCGAGCCAAATATTGTCAAATCTAAAGGGGGAGGGCTCCCATTTTGGCGGTCTTGTATGAAATAGAATGGGTCAGTGATCTAAAACTACTCAGATAGTCGATTCTTGACGCCCAAACGGAAAAAAATCCATCCAACCTTCGGAAAGCAAGAACATGTCCAATCTACAGCTAACGGGAGAATCTCTAAAAGTAGACCAGGTAAATTTTGCGTTATGAATAGGCGGATCAATCAACCTAAAATCTTTAATAAGCTCATCGAACAGCTTCATACTTAGTAACAGTATTGCTGCCACTCTTTTCCGACAAGAACCGGGTAACGTTGAAATCTCCTCCAACGCACCATCTTTGACCACATAAACTCCAAAGCCCTGCTAACTCATCCCAAAATAACACTTTTTTATTATGATGGTTAGGGCCATATACTCCTGTAAGCCACCAAAAATCCCCTTCTCAACTTTAATGGAAACCGAAAAATCTCCCAAAAACTTTCAATTACTATAATTCATCGAACGTCCCAAACTACCAAAATTCCACCAGAACGACCCACAGCTGGCAACAGGACCCATTCTTTGAATCGGGATTGGCAAATGCTGCCCACAAATCTTCTATCTATCTCCTTTCTTTCAACCTCTTGTAGAATCAAAATATCAAGGTTTTCCTAAGCCACGACCTCTTGCACTGCCCATATTTTTAGCGAAGAGTCCCCTTCTCTGATATTCCAAGTCATCAGCTTCATTTAATCTTATCTACATCCCCATTAACATTCTTGTCATACTGGATATTAAACTCCAAATTCTTCAATTCCCGATTTTGACCTCTTCTTCTGGCGGTATTTGCAGTCCCTTCAACATTCCCTTTTGTAGGTTTTTGTGAGAATACTTTGCTCTGATTTCTCTATTACTTTAGAATGAAAGAAATACAATGAATATATACAGAGGGATTTTCCTTAAGCAAAGATCCTAGATTGCAGTAAAGGAGGAAACAATCTCCACTGAACTAGGAAAGAATAAAAGGGAATCTGGTAATATATTACCGGATTCTTCTCCTAAAATTATTTCAAAAATAAACAATTCCTAAAATTTCTAATTAATTGAATGCAGGAATTTAACACCTTTAGACCCCTTCTTTAAACCCGACAGTTGGAGCTGCATATTTTGAGGCACTGACCATATTTTACTCCACTCCACTCTCCTTCCTCCAATAGTCAGTGTACTTAACTAATCCACCCTTGCAATTAGCTTGTTCTCTCCTTCTGTGCATTTCAGCCCTTCCCAAACTTGGGCCCCCTTCAATCTTGTCAATGTCTAAATTGCTTCCCTCCATCATCTCACCCTCAATCTCCTCCATCTCAACCAATGCCACTGAAGCTTAAGGAGAAAGAATTAAAGCGTTTAGGCATATTTCAAGATTATTACCCACTTGGATCAATATAGCTAATTCCTATGGATTGTCTGGCGCTGTAAGAAGCCTCACTTCTTCAAGACTCACAAGCCCTTCCCGATCGTCCATCCCATCACACTCCTCCTTTGAGCAAAAAGAAGTGACTAATCACGAACTGCTTTTGTATCCCGAAGAAAATCGCCTTCTCCTTCAACATTTGTATGACCTTCTTTTGGAACAAGGTCTGATTCTCTCTCAACCCCTCATCCAATCAGATCAATTTTGTTTTTCAAAACCATTCTAGAGCGTCGATAAAATACGGGAAACACTTAGTGGACGTTTGGTTCATGTATTCAGAATCATGATTCAGAATTATTCTCGTTTTACATGTATTTTTTGATAGAGAAAAACACTGTAGAGAACCATGAATCATAATTTAGAATCAGGAACGAATACAAGAAACAAACATCCTCTTAATTATGCGATTTTCCAAGTCTCCATCACTAGAGTAGTGCATAACATATTTTTTGGGAATTTTCCCCTGCGTTTCATCTTCCCACTTTTAATTTTGGCCCTAATAAATTCTTATTTGTTTTCGGGCCTCCAGCTTACCCACTCTGTTTATGATCATCTTGGCCGGTTCTGAGGATACCTTACCAAAGCCCACCTTTAAATTACTCAATAGCTGGTCTCTTTCAGTAAGCCCAAATATTGTAGGCCCATTTTCTAAATCGGCCTAATCCTTATTAAATGACTCCTCACCTTCTGAAAAACCGTTGTCTCCCAAGATTCCAAATTTATTGAATAGAAATAATTCCCTTACCCTTTTTTTACACGGTAGGTGAAATTGATTAGTTGCATAATCAAGAATCGACTATTCAACTACTCTCGAGCCTCTCTTCTCTTGAGATTGATGGCAACATAGGGACATAGGCCACTCGAATTTGCATGGATACACGGAACCTCCCCCGCAATATGCTTGCCACGTGGAATACATGTTGATGAAGACTCCAAATTGAAGTTGTCGACCAACCTTTCGTTTCCTTCACCGTGACCACTACAATCACCGTTTATCTTGGTGGGCTTGTACACTGGAAAATCTCCCTTGTTTTCGTTTGTCCAGATTCTTTCGCCGGAATTATTGCCTCGCTCCACGAATTTGATCCCATTCTCTTCAATTTCATGAACTTCCTTGCTTCAGTTCGCAGCTTTGGCATGCCCTTCAATACTTCTGAAGATCAAACCCCATGTTCTGCCATTGGATTGAATCTAGTTGATTTCCATGTTAGCAGACCTAGATGAATCCTTTCACCTTAACATGAGACCTCCAGAATAGGCAATATAAGCCCTTCCTTGAATCCTCTGACCTTAATTTTAGCAAACATTAGGAACAATTGCTCTAAAGTTTCCTTCACAATCTCATGGAGACCTCATAGGCTCCGCCTATAACCTTGAAAGCATGAGCATTCCACAAACTCATAGGCAAGCCCTCAATTCCAATCCAACTATTTATGGCCTCAATTTGGACGTATTCCCAATAAGAAAACATTTACCATAGTTCCATCCTCGCAACCCGGTCATTTCTACAAAACAGAGTTTTTTCTGTCAACAACGAACTTTTTTCGGCTTCGTCTTCATACCAGGTGACGGCTCTATTTGCTGACATAGGAACCACCTCAACTGTCAACGCCAATCAACTTTCAATTAGCCCATTGATGAATTCCCAATCTACGTTCACTCTTCTCTTGACTATAACCATTGCCGAACTCCATGATTTAACTACTCCAACTTTCTTTTTTCATCATGGATAGGTTTCCTCAGTGTCTCAACACCGTGACTAGGAGGAATCTGCTTGTGTAGAGCTTTTTGGCCCGCCATTCGTCTAACTCGATCCTTGTCTTCCATCACCCCGGTAATTCTTGCTTCCATGAAATTCTCCTTCCTCTTACCCTGCTGCCTTGAAGAGGACAAATTATCGGAGCCTCTCCCCATAAATCACATTAAGCTTGGTCAACAAGATACACCAACCAATTTTGGTTCTATCTCCTGGGAGGAATAAATTTCTTACCACCCCCGCTTGAACCTTCATTATCTTTAGAAACTCGCCCCTGTCGTTTGATAGAATCTCTGCCAGCAAACTCATTGATGAAACTTTCGTTTGAAACCTTGCCAAACTTCCAATTTGCAAATACTTCCCAGAGTATTACTTAACCAGAATGCTGCATCAATGGAGCATGAAAGAAAAAACCTGCAATTCTTCTTAATCTCCTCAAATTTAATATAACCTCCATCTTGTCCTAGAGAAATGATGAACAACTTTGAACCAATTCTAATCTCATGTTTAAAACAGTTGTAAGAAACCGAATTCATGATTGGAAACTAAAAACTCAACGCAAGACGTTTAGACTTCTAGAGAGAAGGAGAGCATCTCTCTCTAAATCCCTCCTACTGAGCATAATCAAGTTTAGAGCAAGTCACTATATCTTTTTCTTCTTTGATATTAAAAAACTTGGAACTTCATTTATCAGCATAAAACCTTTTCAGCATTTCATCTTATCATGGAGTCCGAAAACAATGCGTTCACCCAACAAAAAAAGAGGGAGTATGGGAAAGGAAAGAAAAGAGGAATTCACCGTTGCCGATAACGCTTATCCACATGAGTTAGACCGTGATATTTGTCTGGCAGGGGGAGTAGAGACTTCGTAAGAATTGCAAAAGAGTCCACAAAGACAGAGAGCTCCCCTAAATACACACACATATATATACATGTAAGTCCTTATTTTTGTACAAATTTAACATCCTTCTCCTATCAAGAAATGCTAAAGCAATTATCTACAAAGAAGAAGCTCTTAACTACTTGCCTTTCTCTGTCCGCTTAATTGAGCCACTTGCACCGAGTATATCACCAATATCAACAAGAGTCTTAAGCTGCTCAAATTGATCATTTACAAGCCTTCCTTTTTCGCAATAAAGCTGCATTCAAATGATTAATTTAGTAATTTGAGTGAGAACCTTGCTACTAAATATAACGAAAGACATTTTCAAATTTCTTAGAAAACCAACTCTACATCATAAGTAAAGGCAGGTGAATGAGTGAGAGAACCTGAATGGTCCCTGAGTCATCTCTTAGAGTGAAAAATGCAAGCTTTCCGAATGCTCGGCGAGCCACAATTCTCCCTGCTATTGATACATGATCTTTATCGCTGTTCATCTCTTCGCCACTCCCTAGATTTCTGTATATCTCTTGCAGCTGATTAGCAGAGTGGGTCCTATCCCATCTATAAGCATATGGCTCTAGACCCTTGCTCCTCAACTCTTCCACCTATGAAAAATATAAGAGAACAACATGCCCAAACACGAAGATGTTGGTTTGAAAAAATATTTATGACACAAGAATAAGATTGTAATCTAGGAATTTGAGTTATTGTGGCCTGTTTTCAGAGTTTATAGTAAGCAGATTATGGATTCCTCACTCAAAAACTACTTGTGGGAGTGTTTGGATAACTTTAATTTCGAGACTTGTACAAGAGTTTCAATATAACTTTACAAACTCTATTCTTAAAAGTTCTAATATTCATTAAGTAGACAAAGAAATCACTTTTGTCTCATTGAACTCTTTGAAAAACATGGTTCCAAAACACTAAGCAGAAAAGCTACAGTTTGCACTTCTCTTCTACTACCTAAAAACCTAAGTTAAAAGTTATCCCAGATATGCACCGAGTCTTCCA